CCTTCCGGAAGATAGCCGATTTTGTTAGCGCGAGATGACAAAACGCCATTACAACCAGGTTTGAGAGTTTTAGCAGTGTGATAGAATTCTTCGGTCTTGTAGTTTTCTTCATTTCAGGGTTAGCCATGAGAGGAATTCTCGTGCGTCTTGCCCTTGCTTGGTAACAAACTCAAGTTATTATTATTTGTAAAAATGCTTAATATAATGGCTGACTATCTAACTACCTATAAATTTCCTGCCAGGAGGTACGTAGAGGGAGGTTTGGTCCGGTCACAACAGACTTCAACTAAAGTATCAATCTGTGCAGGTATGAATGGGAGTCAATCAAAATATCCCGGGGGAGAGGTTCTCCCTGAAGCCTACCTGGGACATCGTTACGGCACATGTGAACATTTGTCGTCGAATCATAATCTGTCCCAGGCAGTAACCGCCGGTTTGCCTGCGAAGTTGAGCTGAGTTCAACTTCGCAGGCAAGCCGGCGGTTGTCGACGATTGTCAGCGATGAAAATATTACATGTGAACATCACCTACGGCGCAACGACGATTCCATCCATATTTACAGGTGGAATGGTCGAAAATTGCGCCCATTCGATCTGCATTACGCGCAAATTTGAGTGCGTCGGCGATCCATCGCAGATGCGCCGGGACCCACTGGAACAGATCGCCGAACATTTTCAGTTGCGACCGACGACTACGTCGCAGGTAGGTCGGCGGGATATGAGAACCAGGCTTTATATGGGTTATATAGGTATATGTTGCCCCAAAAGGTATATCCCGACAACAACTCGCGCGGGTAACGCGCGAGATGAGTGAACGCTCCCAGCATTCTTTGCAACAATAGTTCGGCCATGTTGTTGAACCGCGAAAGTTGAACGAGACCGAAAAAAGGCAGACTAACAGGTTTGTTCTTATTCACTGTGTATTTAGTACCTTTCCTTGTGGTGCGTTCATGTTTTGTTCGTATTGAGGACTTTCTCCTTATCAGTGAACCTGTTGTATATTCAGGGAGAACTTTGCTTGGAGCAGGAGAGCTTTGTTGGCGAGCGATTGAACTCGGATTGCAGGTACACAGTAAGCTAATTGGACAAACAAAATATATTTGATTTATTTCCATTGTTAACTGTAGTAATATGTATTTCTTCCCCTTTTGATCGGGTTCCCGCTTGCTTCTAAGATAGCTTCGTTCTGTGTGAAACATCACCATGTATGTCCCCCCNCGGCACCATATGTGTATTTTCGTGAGTGTTGCCCACCCCCCACCGGCGGTATCTTCAGTGGTTTGCGAGTGTTGCCCCCCGCTCCCCCTTCTCCCACGCATAATAAATATAATGTCTATATCTGCCTTAGAAGGTGAATAATTTTATCTCAGATGAATTATTTGACTGTCTTTGTTTAATCATAACGAGATTTTTTAGAGTAATTTATCTGGAATGAGACAGAACATGGCAATTAAGCTTATGTGTAAACTGCTATATGTTTTGAAATTAATTTGTTTGAAATGGTTTTACTTGTAATGTACATATTTGTATGAGTCAATTTGAAACCACCACATCCCCTCCCTATGCCCACAGGGGAGGGGGTACTCCCAGAAAAATTGAGTGGGGGCACTTCCAAAAACCCTTACCCTATTTAAGAGCAAAATTGATTTTTTTTGGCAACGATTTTTCCTACCTTGTTAATGTACTGACCCTTAAGGTGGCTCCCTATAGTTTTACAATTGCATGCATGCATAGGACGAAAGCTCAATTAATCTGAGCACGCTCAAAGCAAAACGTAAGTGTTTTTGGATTGTTATGACATCATTATGAGGACAAAACGCAAAGCTGACAGTGAATTTTTGTGTGTTTCCTTTGGTGAATTTTTTTTTTAAATCTGGCTCAGTTGTAATCACATACAATTCCTATAAAATACCCTATTTTAAAAATGTTAAAATCTGTCTCAGCTAATGTGATATATTTTGAAGAATGACAAATTACAGAAGATTGGAAAAACGGTCGAACAACCTTGACTTTTTACCAATTCAAAATGTCAGGCAATATCATTTCCATGATGTGGCAAAGTATGAAAAAATTTCACCGAAGGAAAGTATAAATATTAAGGAGTTTAGGCCAAAATGAGAAATACATCTGCCTGTTTTTAGATGAGATGGTGCCATGCTAAAGGCCTTAATCCAAAAATTTACAACCAAAAAATAAGCCTTATTGTAACAGTGCCCATACTGGTAAATCTCTACAGGGAAAACTTTAAGAGAAATTAACTAAGTTTCCTTTTCTAACTTGTGCTCTTTAGGGAGGGTGTTCGTTAATACTCTAGGGAGCCACCTTAAATTAATACCCTAGCTGTTTCAGACCTGGTAGCATTTAAGAATGTTTTGTATTTTCAATTACAGTAACTGATCTTAAAGACCTAGAGACAATTTTACTAGAATTAGAGATACAGGCAAACATTTCTGGATCAATGTTGGAGATAATGATCATGGTGTGAAAGGTCAAAATGTCAGGCAATTATCTTAAGTGCCTAGTCTTCAAGATGCTCTCAATTTTTGTGTGTGTTTTATAATTTCATTTTTTGTTTTGCCCAAGCTAGTTTTGCAATAAAAATTTAGATTAAGGGATACTTTTAACCAGGAAAATTGTTTTGACAGGTACATGCAAACCATGTACCATGAAATTGGTCCACCAACTTGAACTAAATTTTCATACGACACAACACTATCAAAGCATATAATTTTGAAAATTTGATGAAAATTCAGGTTTCAATTACATACAAATCTGACAGTGCTCAATAACTGCTAAAAGATGATATTTTAGTATTATGGGTTAGCTTTTCCAGCCACACTTGTTATTTTGGCTATCTAGCATTTGTAAAAAGTGTAATTTTAGGGTTGCATTTTGCTTTTTGCAGGGCAAAATATGTACATGTAAGGCTATCTCAAAAAGAAAATAATATCCAAACAACCTCAAAGTCACAGTTTTGAAACAAGTTACTGAAAACCTTCTTCCTGACAAAGTTTGAGAAAATCATTTTTTTTCTATCCTACATAGGTATAGGTGATTGTTACAGCAAGCTGCTCTTAATTTCTGGTCGCAAACACTCGATTTTGGATCTCATTGGTGACCAGAGAATCTCTATTTTTGAGCCCTGAAATCATTAAAATAAGCAGATATTTAGTAATTAGTACAGTGAAACAAGGATACATGTAATTTAAAATCACAACAAGTCAAAACTATTTGACTTTTTTCTAAGTAAATTCCTCCTCTTTGAACAATGTTAAAGGATATGTAGATTTGAAAGATTTCTATGAAACTTAAGGGGACAGTGTAGTGAATTGTACATGTGGTAAGTTTGGTTTACTACTGAAAAAGTTTAGGCTGAATTTTTCAACTTTGTTTGACAAATTCGAAATGGGGACGAGTAGCAGAACAAGTGGAAACAAGCCGCAGTGTGTGAACAAGAGGCATCTGCAATCAGGAAAAGGGGTTTGATGAATATGTGAAAGAAGAATAAGCCTTCATAAGCTTTGTGTCCAGCTGTCAGTCTTGAAAGCATTGTGAGTGAAAACTTGGATCAGTCTTTCACTGCCGATATGTAACCCCTGTCAGAATTGGTAAATAAGTTTGGAGTGGGTTTGTTGGGCTTGCTTTTTAGTGTTTCTCAGGAATTGCCCTTTTGCAAAAATATTTGACAAAGTACATGTACTTTCACGGGTCATGTAGCCTGCAGAACAGGCGGATTAGCGGGACAGAGAGTGAAACCTGCCCACAAGCATGGAGACAAAAAAAATCCCACTGTAGTCACACCACTGTTTATGCTCTTCCAGCTGTTCGCCTGGCGAACGGTTTTGCTGATTGGTTGCTTTAAGCCAAGTGAAGTCAGACACGAGAAAAAAACAAAATGTGTTAAATTGGGTGACAGGCCTACACGGACTCCTATGGCTCGTGACATTCTACATTTCCATTCTCTTATAAATTCCAACCTCTTGACCTTTTATTTTGCTCCTCATTTGTTTTGAAGGGTACTTTTTTATCAGGAGGACTTCTTTAAGAGTTGAGTAGAGCCGTTGGACTGTTAGAGGTCAAAGTTCTTCACCATAAACATTTGTACAGTAGCCGAAGACAGTAGCTGAAGACAAAATACCTGAGGACAAGACAGGAGGAGGATATCATCGACAAGTTTATTCTAGAATGATGACTCTTTTTGCAATCCAGGACCAGGTAAACATTTGTGTTCTTATGCAATGATCAAATCAAAACTTAACCTGGTTCCTTCAGGGGAATCCCCCAAGGGCATCCCTACAGGGTACTCGAGTCATCAAATTCTACAGCAGAAAAAGAATTAAAATGCACCACTTTTTTTTCCTTCTTAATTAATGCACTATTATTATAGGATCCAAAAAAAGTCAGGGAAATTTTCGTCTTTCAAAATCAGGGAAAGTTCATGGAATAAATAGAGAAAATGGGAAGGTTCCCTTTTGTACTGTACCTTTGGAAAAAAAAATAACTAGACCAAAGTACTGATTTAATTCCATTCAAATTAAAACCTACAGCTGTATAGTACAACACACTTTCAATAAGTGACCACCAAACTAACTAAGAACAGACTCTACTCAACTTGCACCAACAACTACAGTACTCGCCCCTACAGTAGTCACTATGGTATTTCTTGACCTCAACAGAACTCACATGATGTTCTTCAACCAGCCTCAACACAGACTTCACCAAAAGTAAACCAGTTGAAGCAGACCATAACTGATCAGTCACTGATTACTACCTTTTCACAATGGCTTGACAGGTTCTCAAAGCATCAGTGCTTTTACACTAGGCAAACTACATAATGATACTTGTCCACTTTTTTTCTTTGTGGTTGGTAGCTTGACAGTTGTTCCTTTGGGCACCAGAGTGGAACATACTGTAATGACTTTCTCAATCCCTCCCTCCCTCCCCCACCCCCACACTCTCCACCCTCTTCATGATTCACTATTATTTCCCAGGGTTCCCCAGGTTAAGAATTAGTTTTGAGTTGATCATTGCATTCCATGATGTAAACCAAGTTCTGCTTTTTATTTTGAAATACCACAGACATAAAAATAATTTAAAATGCTTTCATTGGCCCAGTAACTAAATTAGTTTTAAAGTAGATAACATTTCATTTGGTTATATTTTATGTTTTTACTGTATTTCCTCTTTGAAACCCCAGCTGGACTTCCTGATTTTTGCCCTTACATATATGTAAGAAGGTGAAGCTCTTTGGAAGAAGGACTTTATAGTAATATCAAATATCAAAACTGCAATTTGTAGGTTGAAAAGGAAATTCGAAAGACTTCCTTATTAGAATGGAGACTCGATATTATCAATACTTCCAATTCAAAGTTCTGGGATTGTACAAAACAATCAGATGATCTGTATAAATTTGTCGTGGACACCACCAGGAAATTCTGTCCTTTTTGACCTCAACTGGAAGAGCTTAGAAATTTAGGCTGAAAGAGTGTTGAGCTGCTGTTTCACTGCTACACTGTAATATGATAACCCATCATATGGATCTAAACAGAAAAAAGAAAGAGATTGGGGCTAATTATAAATGATACTGGATAGAAAGAGTTGAAAGGAAATTCGGACTAAAATTCATCATTTAACACTCCCCTCCCCCTTCCTTCTCCCCTTCCAAAAAATTCAAGCAAACTGCAATTTTCATCGTTATTGAAAATTTGTAAGGAAAATTGTACTAGGGCAGGGGTTGGGTTGGTGTCCTTATACAGATGGGCATGAGGATCAGTGGAAGAGATTGTTCTGTGATAATGTGAGAATGGTTTCACATTCTAGACAACACCCTGCCATTTAGATCATTAGGATCAAAAAAAGATTGGCATAGGTTTAATAAGGGGGTAGGGAGATGCATGCTACAACATGGCAATCTTGCCAGTTCATAGGCACAAGTAACAAAGTAAGTACATTGTATGTTATCTTCCCTGATAGGGGTACTGAACAACAAGTAAAAATAGATCAACAGGTTGGACTCTTTATAGAGGGAAAGGGGCCAACTGAGGAAATACAGTAATTTTTCAGGAGAGCGAGAACACTTCTGAATGAAGATGACTTATCATTTCATTCATTCTTGTACTACATGTGCATGTATATTTTAAGATATTTCTGCATTTCAATTGTAAAGAAAAGTTTTTTTCTAAAAGGAGAAGGGAAGGAAGAAAAACCTGCAACTGACTTGCATCAAAATGTATTTTTTCCAAGCGATTATCCACTTCACTATCTTCAATGCTATCATTTCTGAGTCTAGAGCATGTTTGGCTCAAAATAATATGGCTCAAGAGCAGCCATAACCCAGAGTGGTAGTTAAAAGGCTTGTTGGAAGCCATTTGGACAAAATCTCTTGGACGGAATGATGTAACAGAAATGCAGCCTGGCTGCTAAGTACTGTTCAAATTGGGGTAACCGTGTCAAATTTTGGGCTTCTTTGGAGACGGATTTCATAAGGAAAACCTGCACTTTAGAGGCTGAAACTTTGGTGAGTGGCTAAACTCAGTGCGAGGTTTTTATTAGCATTGACAAAAAAAATATACGTTTATTTACCTGTTTTGGAGTGACCATCTCCTTTAACCATTTCAAAACAACAAGAGACTTCATTTTGTAGTCCAATGAATTTTTATTGACATGCTGAACAAAAACTCTGCTGTTGTGGCCACAGTGTCTTGACATATTAATTGCTAAGAAAGTGAATATAATTTGGCAAATAAATATTGATAATTGAGTAACTGCTAAATTGAAGACTCCTTATCAAAACATGTAAAGGACTGGTTGATTTTAGCAGTGGTTGTTACAGCTGACAACTACAATAAAATTATTGAGTAACTAATATTATTACTCTCTGAAAAGCTGTTTTACAAATTCTATGGCTTGCCTGTAATTTTTTTTGAAGATTTCTTTGTTTATGTTTATTCACATTATTATTCACATTCTTCTCTGAGGTGTTATCCACTTTCAACAAATTAATTTAGAATACATGTTATTGTTTGCAATGTCTGTTAGTTTTCATTTGACCTCTGTTTGGCTATGCATGTCTGTGGTATTTGTAGTTACTGTACAGTGGCCCATTGGTAAAAATATGACTTCACCATTCAGTTTATTTATTAACACTTATCCCTTCAGCATGAGTTTGAAAACAATACATTTTGCAAGTTACCCAAATCTGCAAAATAC